TTTTTAATTGGTCAATATCTTCTTTACAACAAAAAGCTCCTATGAAATTATGAGCTCAGGGTTATATCCAGAATTTTTACCGTTTTTAAGTCTCTTACACTTGATCATTGATAATTCCAGAGGTGGATTTTAATATACACTAACTAAGAGTGCTTCATTTCTGGAGTGTAAGCAAAACCAATGAGAGAGTTTTGCATAATGATTTTAACAAAAAAATTTATAACTACAGTGGTTGAATTGAACTGTTATTGATCAAGCATTGTGAAACCAACATCAGAGGGTTGTGCAACCAAACTACGTCTTAAGTTAAATTTTAGTAGCCATTAGCATACAATTTTATGGCCAATCTCACTAAAAAGATGTCTGCAACATGGGATGCAGAATATCTGCTCTACTCACTCGTGAGTGGCTTTGGCTGATAACTCTCCTGTGACAGTTAAAAAGAAATCGCTGCTTAAAATTATATTAAAGTGTTACAGTTCCATTAACTTCAAACTTCTCTTGCCTTCTTTTTTTGTGAAAAGCCACCTGAAGTTCCAAGATTATGAGGAGGGCTTACCAGTCTGGCTTATATATATGCTACGTGTAGGATGGAAGCCAATGTTAATTAAGTTCCAAGTACTAGATCCTTTTTTTTCTTCTATAAGAACCTTTTTTAATAGGAACGTTTAGGCTGAGATTAGCCCAAATTTTTAAAACATTCTCAGAACATACCCAGGCTGAGAGTCAGTTGAGAACTTTTTCATTTTGCTCATCTTTTTTATCTTTTTTTTAATGAAGAATAAGAGAAGAATAAATAAGGGCAAAAGAAATGTTAAACTGTGGTCAAACAGGACAATAAACTCAAATACTTAAGAATGCGGTTTTTACTGTTGTACGATAAACTGAAGAACAACTCATATTGTGGTCGAATTTAGTCCGTAATAATAAAACTTTCAGAACATCTTAAGAAAGTTTTCAGACTCAAATTGCATAAAAAAGAACGTTCAACCTCAGCCCCCAAATTAGACGTTAAAAAAAAGGGTGTGTTACCAAAATGGTACCTATTGTAGTGCTCAACTTGTATTTGTCAAGTATTGCCTTTCCTCCAGTTGGCCAATATCATGGGTTTTTCATACACCAAACTGAAAAGCCATCTCTTAATCAAAGAAGCCGAATTCAGAAAGCTTTTACAATAAATATTTTTGTGCCCTTTTCCTAAAATCATTACTGTCGAGTTGGTGTTATTGAAAGCGTGACAGTTGGACTTTTGTTGTAAACATTACAGGATTCGAGTTATATCAACTGTCTCTTGCCTTCTTCACAGAAAGATACCCGCAGGTTTGAGTTTCGAATTTGAAAGATAAAGATTAGGTCTTTCCTGCAAAGAGTATTTTATCCCAAATTGAAGGGTCACTTTTGAGATTTTTTCAGTTGGGCTTCCTTAAGTCGCAGTCATCCTTCATTGTAGTCATGCTATGCATGCAAAAGTTATTTCTTTGGATGGATAAGCTCAGGTGGGACGCTAAGTGACTGACGTTTTCATTTTTGTAAAAAGAGAAAAAGTATTAACTTAACTATCATAATGTTAGCAATTATGTCCAACATCATAACGAATATACTAATTATCTCAGTTGTATTTTGTTGTATTAACCGACAAAAATTTCTTTCAATAAAGAGCAAAAAAGACCCATTCAATTTATCTGAAATGAATTTAGACACAGGTGTTTTTCTGGTCTATTGTCACTGGTGTCTGAATAGTTTTAAGCAACACTAAACTCTATTGGTGTCACACTTGCGGTAGTCTCCGTCGCAGCCGTTGTTTAGTCTCGCCACGCAGTGCAGTCTCTCTCCCATTGCAAGACCAAACAACGACTGCAAAGGCGATTACGCTAACGGGCCTTCATTATTAGTATTTAATCACGAGGGTTTTCTTCCGCTGCAGGAAAGTACCAGGCCTTCAGCAAAACTTCTTCGCCTTCTCCAGCAAAAGAAGAGGCGGTCCTCATAAGAGGGGTGTGGAAACAGAGACCCCACAAGTTAGGTAAGTATGTCCTCACAAGTCTTATATTAAAAGTAGTACCCACAAGTAGGCAAAGTTGAGTAATGGACAGGTCCCCATAAGGAAGTCCCCACAAAAAAAATTGGAATTTCCTCAATTCTAATCAAGTGTATAAAGAGTAAGGCAAACAAGCTATCAAACATCGTAGTTTTTATTTTGATACTGCCAGCAGAAGGAGGGGTCCCCGCAAGCGGTGTGTGTAAACACAGTCCTCACAAGTTGCCAAAGGTGCGTATGTGTGTACTGTGTGTGTGTATGTTATGTCTGTGTGTGTATGTTATGTCTGTGTGTGTGTGTATGTTATGTCTGTGTGTGTGTATGTTATGTCTGTGTGTGTGTATGTTATGTCTGTGTGTGTTTGTGTATGTTATATCTGACCTAAATCATTGTATTAGATAAATTACCTAAGTATAGCTGCCCTTTTCTTCTAGCCCTTATGGTTATTTGGGGCAGCTAGTACTCCTCTACATCTTTTATTGATATATTCTGTTTATTGTTATTGTATCATATTTGGGTACGAATAAAATTGTTGTTGTTGTTGTTGGAACCCGAATACTTAAACAACCTTCCTTAATTATAATTTTAATTATAATCTGAAAGGTCGTCACCTTCTTTACGGTTTGTCTGTAATCAATACGCAGCAATAATCTCCTTCATCAGAAAAACCGTCAACGGTTTAGAATTTTAAACTTGAACTTAGCTGAAAAGTATTCTGACATTTTGCGCAATTAACCATATTGTCTGCTGTAACAACTAACTTAACAGAGGAAAATGTTCAATCACCTGCGGCATAAACGCTAGTACCGAGATCACATCAGTGGTTTTCAGGGAAAACAAAATCAAAGTTTACTACTTGAACTGATTCTCAACGATACAAAGCAGTTCCATCAGTGACAAAAATGTTTTGCTGTTGACACGCAATCTGCCTAGCGCTCTGCAAACTTAAAAGAAATGGTAATAAGTTTTGTTTACAATACAAAATTTAAGGTTAAAACGACATATTTCAGATTCTACTAGAACCCGAATACTTAAACAACCTGCTCTAATGGTAATTTTAATTACAATCCAAAAGGCCGGCAATTTTATTTATGGTTTGGCTGCAATCAGTACGCAGTAATAATCTCCTTCATCAGTATAAACCGTCAACGGTTTAGAATTTTCTCCGCTTGTGTACAGAGCACAAAACCTTGACACCTTATCTCTTGTGGCTAGCTCTGAAACAAACCTGCCTTGATTAGTTGCCAAGATAAATGAGCACAAGCTTTCAACATTTTCGAACTCCTGATCCTCCATTTTGACGTCGACACTTTTTACGATTTCGAATCCTGCAGCCGAACACATCTCTTCCATGTTTGCCCTCCTCTCGTACCAACGTTTACTTAGCATACGTTCCATGCTTTCTGAGTTTTGAAGTTCACGATAAATTTTATGGACGATGGAAGGTAAGCGATCGCCGTAAGTCAGGACAATTTTCCCTGCTGGTTTCAGGCTCCGAAACATGTTCTTGAATGCTTCTTCTTTATCCTTAATCCAGTGAAACACAAAGTTGGAGAAGATGACGTCGTAAGTCTCCGAGCCCATTCCTGGGAAGCTGGCAGAGCTTCCTTCTTGAAATTCGAGATTTTTGACTTCCCTGTGTGATTCTCGCGCCACTTCTACTCGATAACTGTCGGGATCAACGGCAACGACTCTTCCATCTTGTCCTACGAGCTCGGAAAGATACACAGACAATTCTCCAGTGCCACAGCCCAAATCTAGGATATGTCCTCGATGAATCTCTATATCGTCAATCAGCATTTTTCCATGCTCTCTTTGAAAAAGTGACACTTGCTGGTAACTCTTTGCAACATCTTTGGAACTGGACATTTTGATTACTTGCTCAAGCTTAGGCGACTGAATCTTAGTAAAAGCGTAGCTGTGTGAGGTTTACAAGGCCCCAAACCCAGGGTCATTTTGTCTCCATGTCAACGGCATGGTCGCCAAACAATGACATCTGGGAGAATGGATTGATTTAATTCTTTTGATTGGTTGAGAGGAAAACAGTGGACTCCACACAGGAAGTGTGATTACGGAAGGAATTAATCGTGCCGGAAATAGAGCGTTAACAACGATAAATTTAAATTGTTTGTACTGTTATTGTTGTTGTTTTTTTCCTTTTTGTGTGAAAGTTTCACTTGCAAACTGCCTGGCGATGCGTAGATATATCCAACCAAAGCCGCTGCGCGCTCTAATGGCGGGAAGCTGTTCTTCTTGCAACATCCTTGGATTTGGACATTTTGATTGCTTGCTCAAGTTTAGGCGATCGAATCTTGCAAGAGGTCTGCAAGGGATCTGGCACCAATAATTAGTACCAGACCACCCGAAGACCTCTCGCCGTCTTGTGTTATTCAAGGTAGTCTACGTGTAGTCGGAACCCCCCCCCCCCCTCCTCTCTAAGTTGAAACGGAGGCGTGCACCTCAGGGGAAGGATACGGCTACACAAAAGCTATGTTCAAGGCCCCTAAACTTATGGAAGGGCGAAGTTACCCTCGTACATTGAACCCCCTTGTAATGAGGGCTTTCTCAAAGGATATCAATTTGAGAGGGCTCTTGGTGTCAGCAGGTCTTTCCTAATCTGGATTTTTCGTTTACTTGTTTGAAAATGTCGTTTCTATATTCACAACGCTATAAGTATAGGTAATCAAATGATTTCGAGTGCAATTTGAAATAAATAAGCGCGAGTGAATTTTTTTAAAGACTAACAAAATTGCACGAGCCCGAAGGGCGAGTACAATTTGTGGTTTTTGAAAAAATTAACAAGTGCTTGTTTATTCCAAATTGCACGAGAAAAATCATGTGATTACGTGTTAATAATATACATGGACAAATACGAGACGGCTTATCATAATTAAGCATAAGCAAAGTGTGCGCATCAAGTGCAAAAATAATTTATTCAAACCGTCCGGCTAAACAGTTCAAG